TGGTCAACAAGTATGTGAAAATACTAATATCACTAATTGTCAAGGGAATACAAATGAATGCCTAAGTAAACGCCACTCTTCTATGTTAGAATGGCAGCTATCAAAAAAGACAAAACACAGCTGGTGAGGATGTGAAGGGACCCGTGCTCACTGTGGGATTGTAAGTTAGTATGTTCTTAGTCATGGAAAGTTTTTAAAAAAGGACTAGATCCAGCAGCCGATGTCTGTATGCCAGGGAGGCGATGTGTTTGCTACAGCACTGTCCACAGTAGCCAGTGACTAGCATCAGCCTCGGTGTATAGCTCAATGAAGAGAATGCGGCATGTCTGCACAGTGGAATACTGAGGACCATTTGGCCTTTGAAAGGGGGCACACTGGGCGTGCCAGTGAATGCCTGTATGTAGAATCATGAATTCCAGGTGTGTCTGGGGTACATGATGAGACCTGATCTCAAGAAAGGGGGAAGTGCCGTCATTTGGGAAAACGTGGGTGGTACTAGAGGACATCCTTAAGCCAGATAAGTCAGGCATGGAAGGTTAACACCCATGACTTGTGGACTCACAAAAGCAGATGTAGATGGATAGAAGAGCATGGTGGTAAAGGCGGGGAAGGATGGAAGATACAGGAGGGGAAAGTTCCAGAACTGAACACTCATGGAGCTGTCATCATCCCATAAGGTCGGAGCAGGAAGAGGGTATCATGAAGGGACCTGAGGTGACATGTAGGAATGGGATGTCCTGTATGGGTCCCTGCCTCCTTGTCATTTGCCCTACTTCTGGGATTCCAGCATCTTCGGTGTGGCTCAGCCACAGATGGACCAAACAGTCCTGAGTGTACATGTATGTAGGAGTCAGGTCGGGCTGGGCCACATTTGCCGCTGACAGGAAAGAAGGGTCAATGCTGCTGACAGCCTCTGGCCAGCAACACAGCCTGGAAATGGACTGGGAATCCAACTGCTTCCCCATGAGTGAAGTATGTTTCTCGTGGTGGCTAAGCATGGTCCCATTGTGACACCACAGCAAGGTTGTACACTGAGACTAGACAGTAGCCCATATCCTCACAAGCACAGTTAGGATTGAGGGCATCTGTCTCTGTGGCCTTGGACATGGTGAACCTGTTTGAGGTGTCTGAGGAGAGGATTGAGCTCAGTCTTGGGGAGCTAGTGTCCTAAGGACCCTGACTCTGCTGTGTCTCTGGGTGCCGATGCGGTGATGAAAGCTGGTGTGACACCAGGGAACGATACCACACGTCCTCAGGAGCCCAGAGCATCCATGTCGAAAATCCAAGTTACCATGGCAGATGAGCCACAGCCAGATTTCAGAAATGCAATATGTTGAGAGTTGGGGGCAGACATGTATCTCGGGGTTAATAAGCTGATATGCTTCCTCTGGGAATACGTGTCTGTTGTTCCTTATTGTATGGAAGCTGAAATTAAGATTCAAGGTGATGTCCTGATTAAAGGTCCCCGTCCCTGCTGCCTGCCACCACATGAGCCAGGCACTGATCTGGTGTCTTTGGGTGCCATTGTATACCTGGCTGTGGAAGGAACATGGCTCCGCGAGGTTCGAGTTCTCACTCATTAGATCTTAAAAGTCACACACAGTAGGGTTACAGTGATTGGTTTCCTAGCCACAGGAGTGAAGCGACTCTGGCATAGAGCAATGCCTTCTGTTACTGAGTTAGCAGAGTGTGTGTTGTTTTGTTCCAGTCACACAGAAACCACACAGTGAATTTTAACCAGGTGATATTTACTATCAAGATCGGTTAAACCATGGTGACTGGGAGAGCTGCTCTAAGACATTAGAACTCAGCAGGGTCCCTAGGGAAGTGTCTGCAGGGGAAGGTGGGGTGTGGTAAGATAGCTGCCCACTGAAGAGGTATCAAGGATGGCTCCTGGTGCCACAACACAGCAGATGATGAATCTGATGGCATTATTGGGATGTATGGGATCTGCAGATGGAGTGAGGACAGCTGAGTGAATAGGAGGCCTGAAATGGCCATGCTGTGAGGTTAATACATCAATAGCGTGCAGCAGCAGCACCCAGAGCCTCTACCAAGATGGGAGGTTCCTTCCAGCACCCAACCCAGCTCTCCATTCAAGTCGTTTCCTCCTAGACATTGTGTGTCAAACACTGACCAACACAAGTTGTTTTCCAGACTTGGGTTGTAATGAATAGTTTTGATGAATGTTAATTTTGAGATCCTGCAACTAAGGAACTCTTCCTCCAAGGTAATTGCGGCGGGGGTGGGGGTGGGTGGGTGGGTGTTCACATGGCCCAGCACATTTGGGAGCTAACCGAACCGTTCCTGCAGAGGGCCTGTGATGCTTCACCTTCCCACTAACATGGGAGATTCTGTCTGTTACACCAGTCCTCCCAGCCTTTGCTATTGTCTGGACTTTGCCCCCGACCACTGCTCTGGATGCTGGCAGCTTCTAGCACTTGTGTGTAGTCTGCAGTCCAGCACATGCTCAGCTCCCGTGGCTAAGGTGCCGTCCATCCGCCTTCACAGGCACCCACTTCCCTCCAGCGTTCTTCCCTCCAGCGTTCTCTCACGGCCGCGCTGTGCTTCAGGTCATTGTAGAGCGTTGTTTTCCTGATGTTAGGGATGTGTTGTTGTTGTTGTTTCCTTCTTCTTCTTCTTTTTTTTTTTTTTTTTTTTTTTTTTGGTTTTTCGAGACAGGGTTTCCCTGTGTAGCTTTGTGCCTTTCCTGGAACTCGCTTGGTAGCCCAGGCTGGCCTCGAACTCACAGAGATCCGCCTGGCTCTGCCTCCCGAGTGCTGGGATTAAAGGCGTGCGCCACCACTGCCCGGCGGTTTGTCTTTTAAGTCTCCTGTGTTGGATGGATCCAAGTTTTAAATGTTGATCAAGCCTAGTTTATTTTTTTCTTCCATGGCTTAAGCTTCCAGGTGTGGGGTCTGAGCTAAAAGAGTCTTCCTTAGGTTTTCTGCTGAAAGCCTGGTTCAGGGTTAAGTGCATGTGGTATCTGGGGTGAGTTCTTGCCTAGTGTATGAAGAGGTAATTTTTATCTACGGTTTTCCAGCTGGTCAACTGTAATCTACTGAGAAGACCACTTTCCTTATTAACTTGCCTATGCAACCTTGATGGACGTCAGTTGCACACACTTGGGTGAATGTGTGGACGATGTCAGCACCATGCCATCTTCATTCCTTTGGCGTGATAGTGAGACTTAACATTGGAGTGTGGTTCCAACAGCTTAACTCCTGTTTTCAAAGTTCCTTTAACTACAAATGTCAATTTTCAAATTGAAGTTTTGCAGTGCTGGGGATCAAATCCAGGGCCTGTACCTACTCAGCAAGTGCTCCACCCCTGAGCTATTCCTCCCGACGGTCTTGCACATACCAGTGTTTTATTTGCATGTAGGGGTGCACACATGCATGGCATGCATGTGGGGATCAGAAGAAAACCTCAGGTGTCGGTCCTCATCTCCCGTCTGGCAGGCTCTTCACTACCATTTACACCGAGACAGCTGCCCTGGAGCCTGCAGGGGCCTCCTGTTCCACCTCTGGTCTTGCTGCATGCGTGGATTACAGACACACATGACCACATCTGGCTTTCACGTGGGTTCTGGAGATCCAGACTCCAACCCTCACATTTGCATGGCAAGGGCTTCTCCGCTGAGCCGTCTTCCCAGGCCCTCGGGCTTAGAACTAGCTTGTCTGTACCTACAGGAAGTCATTTTGGGTTCTTCATTGGAATCATATTGCACCTATGAATCATGAGGGGAGAATTAACGATTACTAAGTCCCAATCCATGAGCATGGTATGTTTCCGGTTACGGAGCTCTGACCTGTCATGTATGGGGGCCATTCTCAGCAAACAGCTGCTGTACATGATTTGTCAGACGTGCTCAAACGGTTCTTACCCTTCCTCTTCCTTTTCTTATCTTCTGTTTCAAGTAACACGGGGCTGCAAGTGCTGGTCTCTAGCTGTTCTTCACTAGTCTGTAGAAATACAACTAACTTGGGGTGGGCATGCTCACATCCTTTAATAACCTGGCTGGATCCACCCACTAGTTCAGGGAGGTTGTTTGATTGATTTTGTAATATGTTGGGGATTCTCACATAGGCCATCACGTCTTTTGCAAATAGGAGCCTTTTATTTCTTCTTTCCAAAATTTTATTCATCTCTTTTTCTTACCCTATTTCCCTAATTAGGATTTGCATTACTGGGTCTCATAGAAGCAGGGAAAGTGGGCATCCTGGGTGTGTGTGTGTGTCCGTGTGCCCATATACGTGACACAGCATGGATGTAGAGGTCAGAGGCAACTTGTGAGAGTTGGTTATCTTCTATAATGTGGGTTGTTCCAGGGACCAAACTCAAGTCCTCAGGTTTGGCAGCAGGCTCCTTCACCCACCAATGCAGCCAGTCTGGACACATGAGTTCTAGGCCAGCCTGTACTACAGAACAAGACCCTGTCTCAAGCAATAAAAAAGTGGAAGGATCATACTCTAAAAACAATGAGAAGGAAAGATTAGTGGACACATTAGACAGCCTCATCACCGCCAACTCCAGGCATTCCCTGTGGGCTGATCTGACATGGCCAGGCTACACAGCATGACCACAAACAGAGGCTCCATGGTAAAGACACGTAGGCTTCATGACAGTGCCAGAGTGGCCGCACGGTCTACTTAACATCTAGGAATTTCCTTGATTGGTTACTCTGAACAAAAGCTGTTGCTGCCCAAAGGCTGTACTGGGGTGCTGGTTGGGTCGTGGTGGCAGTGTTTCACAACTTCGGAGAAGTGCACAGAGATGGGATTCAGGAACAGTGTTTAAGAGTGGGCAGACACTGACCTCCACCTCAGGCCCCGGGCCAAGGACAGGAGGAGCCCTTGGCTCGGGCCTGATTGAGGTTCACCCACTGACGGCTGTTTTTTCCGAGATTTTCAACTGTCTAATTTCAAAAACATTTGGTCTCTGATGTGGTGGAAGCCACTCGCCCTGCTCTGACCTGCATGTCTCTCCTACTTCTGCAGGTGACCCCGGGGTTCGAGGAAAAGGAAGGAGAGCTGCTAGTTAGGGGACCCTCTGTGTTTCGAGAATACTGGGATAAGCCAGAAGAAACTAAAAATGCTTTCACTTCGGATGGCTGGTTCAGAACAGGTAGGACCAAGCTCGGAAGTGGCAGAGGGGACTGCTCTTGAGGGGGGTCTGGTCGGTGTGGATGTTTCTTAGTTTGTGTGTTCTAGAACCTCCCACTGCAGGCAGAGGCTGTTTGGAGACTGCCGTTTTGACACATTTGTGGGTGCCCCAGCCTCCTATAGGCTACTAAAAAGAGGGTCTAAAGGCTCACTGCTCTTATAAGGAGCCTGGAGCCCCTTATCCCCAAGACGTAGCTCCTACACTATCCCTCTGCCAGCTGGCCACATCGCCACAGCCTTGTTGATGCCCCATGATTCTGGGCCTACTGCCCCTGAGGTCAGGACCTCCTCTCCCTCTTGGGTACACCACTGCTCCTGTCCACCCACACAGCCACACTCCTGCACTGAAAATCTCCCCTCCCTCCGTTGGGGTCAGAAGCAGGTTCACTTACCATGACTTGTTTTGGTTTGGTTATTAATTTGCATATTCCAGTTTAGTCTCCTTTGTGTGGCCTGTGAGGCTCATGGGTGAGTACAGTGGACCCAAGCAGGCTGGGAGACACACAGCATATACTGTAACTCCCCCACCCGTGTGTCCGTTCTCCTGAGACCCCTCCTCATCGTGTGGGAATCCCATGTCCTGAGACAGTATGGCTGTACAGCTGTGTCTATCTGCTGCCCTGCTTTTTACCTGGAAGTTCATCAACATCACATGAGTTACTGCCCTCAGGATGTCAGGGTTCTGGGAGTTTTTCCTTTTTGCCCTTCTGTATTTCTAACATTTTTGTGTACATGGTTACTTTTCTAGTTCTTAAGGTGATACTTTCCGAAAGGAAAGGCCTGTTTCCCATGTGACATCCTGGCCATTGTGACAGAGGTAGTTTCACCCAGGCTCTTTTGGGAAGCAAAGCCTTGTGGGGGCCACGTGCCCTGAGTGGGTACTGTGGCTCATCTGAGAGAGGGAGGTCTGTAGGTAAGGAAGCAATCTATAAGTTTGCCAAATGTGACCCTCAGTCTGGTGGCCCTGGAAACGTGTTATCCCAGCTACCTTGGGCCAGTATACCCTAGATAGGCAGGGGCATCAATCTGACACCTTCAGGGAGTGCCCAAGGGAGAGACCCACAAGCTCCTGAGCCTACCCTCCACTATTCCAGGCTGTCACCAGCTCAGGGCAGGGGAACCTGATGTGATTATATCGGTAGATCAGTGATGGAAAGTGGTAGGCATATAACCCACAGCTCCCCGGTGCTCCTCTGTAAACACCCTGGTTAATGCCAGCTCTCTGGAGGAAACAAACCTCCCGCTATTGTCCCTCAGTGCAGTGTGTAGGGAACCCTGCTTTTGAGTGAATCCTGCTTTTAGCAGCCCCCTCCAGCAGCCTTCTGAATAATCCCTGTGGGAATCCCAACTTGCTTTGTGGTCACCTTCTTGTGTTTAGGTTTGGATAAAAAAGCTGTGTTCTTCCCTTTAAAAACACAGGGAGCAAGCCCTATAGGTTTTACGGATGCCGGGACTCATGGAGCCCTGGGGTGCAGCAGGAGCCACGTGGGCAGTGAGCACTCCGGGTGGGCCTTTCTGCCGAAAAGGAATAGCATGCATTAATTATTGTAAAGAGATGTCTTCAGGAGAAAACGATTTTGAAATTCAGTTTAATTTCATTGTAACGTGCTGCAAACAGGAAGGGAGTGTGTGTGTTTAATTGGCTCTCGGGGGTAAGGCCGGGAGCTGGCAAGCCTTTGTCACAGGCCATTAGCGATACAGACTGCATAATGAGAGCGTGCAATCAGCTCGCAGCTGCCGCTCCTACGGGGAGAGCATGATATTAAGTAGAAATCAGGATAAATTAAACTTAACCCTTTCCCTAGCTGTCCCTCCTGCCGCTCGGATTGTGGCATAAGCTGGAGAGAAAACTGTCTCAGACCCCTGGGAAGGGCCTCATCCCCAGCTCTCCCAGGTCATCCTCGGGGTTAAGATGAGAGGATGGGGTCCCCCACCTGATCCCTAATGCTCCCACCTTCGCCACCCTACTTCTGCAATTATTCTTGCCCCAGAGGATGTACAGAGAAGCTCACAAGATCGGTGGCTGCTCGGGCAGGAGCAGAGGCCCCCTCACTGCCAGCATTAGTCCTCCTAACTCTGAGACTTCCAACAGAACTGTTTGGAATGTGTGGCCTACCTATGGCCCTGTGATTCTGGAGCTGGGCCCAGCCAGGCAGTAACAGGTGAGCCTGGAGTGCAGTTAGACTTTTTGTTCGTGGCGGGTGACAGGAGGAAACAGCAACTCTCCCGGGGTTAGTTGAGGACCACCAAGGCTAAAGAGCAGGGTCAGAGCCCTACAGGAGAGTGGGTAGGATCTTAGGAGCTATGAATCCCTGCTACCAGTGTGCACGTTAACATGTGTGGTTACTAATAAACCAGCAAGGCAGGGCCTTAGAGAACTGTCCCCTGATCTGAGGAAAGTCACCAGGGACTTCCAAGCTCCCGGGAGAAAGAGAGAGAAATGCACTTGCTCTTCCAAACGGGCCTTCCCTGTACAGATGCCCCACCTTCAGATTTTGTACCCTGCCTCCATGTGTGGCTAGCTGTTGGGGCTCTGCTGTTGTCTGTTTCGTGTGGCTAGCTTTGGGGGTTTTGCCCTTCCATGTTGATCGACACTAGACCATCGTGTACTTTTGGAGGGTTGGGCTGCAAAATGTCTTGAACGCATGGCTTTAGATGGTTTTCAGATGTAACCTGTTGACCTTTACCCATGCCCTCCATAGGCATGACGGTGCTGTGAGTCAGGGTCTGTGAACCCCTGAATCCCCTATGCAGTCAACAGAGGCTGGATGTTTGCCTACAGGATTGGAATCAGCCAAGACCTGGGCTGGGAGCCAACCTTGCCCTTCCTGCACCATAGTAACTGTACATGGTGGGCAGTCTGCGCTAGCGTGCCCATCAGGAGAGCCGGGCATCAGCAGGGAGGGCGTGAGTTAGCAGAGCCCCAGAGGCACTGGGTGTTTTGGGGGTTGGAATCCTCCAGACAGGCTGTGCTACCCCTAACATGGATTTCCATGGGGACTTGGGACATGCAGAAGCCAGAGCTTAGCCTGGAAGAGGCCACCCCCGATGGTGACACTGTCCACTACTTACTACATACCTGATGTGGGCCAGGATAGCCAGGCAAGGAAGTGACACCACCCCATCTGCACTGCCATCTGGGCAGAAGGCTCTATTTTCTCCTCTGCTCTCAGTGTATGCCAAGTTCTCTGTGAGGTTCTGTACGTGTTTGGTCAGGTTAGTACCAAGTGCTGCTGTGAAGCCTCCTTAGCTCTCCTTAGGCTTCCAGTGTGACCTCTAAAGGGTAGCATTGACGGATTGGAGAGCTTTAGGTTTTTTAATCAATTGTTGATTGATCAAGCCCTAATAGTCTTCCCATAGACTCTTAGCATCACAATCAATGGAGGCGTGTATAGGTCTTCATTTTTGACCTTTGAGCTTCTTACTCTTGCCTTGCTGTGTGACTATCGCTTGGGAGGATGAGAAAATAGCAATACCTTTCTGGCTGGTGGGAATGGGAAAAAGGAGGTCCCTGGTTTGTTCCTACTTAATGAGCTGTGAACTCTAGGCAGGAGTTTGCAAGCTAAAATCTGAGTTATGTGCCTATCCATGGCTTAGACTCTCCCAACCCAGCCAGCCCAGAAGACTCAAGACTCCAGGATAATGTTAACGTGAAAACAAAAAACCACTGCTGCTTCCATCCTCTCCCCCAAGCCTTACTGGTGGATTCTGGGATGCCGACCCCCCATTCCCAGATGATGAGCTAGAATTGCCACTTGGTAACTCATACTCTGCTATCCTCTGCTGGACCCTCCTCCCAAAGATGGTACCCACAGCCCATTTAGTCCACATGCAGTATTTGCTCAGTTAGCTCAGGCTGGTGGATGCTACCTACTTGTGCTGGAGAGGCCAGGATCCGTAGGTCTCAGGTACCTACAGTTCCTTCATGAGGCCCTGCTCTTTTGCCCATGGCATCTAGAGGCCTATGATCAGTATACACTTGTGCGTTCTTTCTTTGCTGTGTGGCACTCCTGCTCTACAGTTCTTGATCACCTGGTGCCTGTCTGCCTTCTGACATTCAACTTCTTAAATATAATTTCCTCTGCTTGTTCCCTAGTTTAGGATTTATGCCTTTAAAATCAAATAAACTATCGTTAATTTTGTCTGAGGGTTTCTCAGCTGTGTCTCGTCTGCCACTGTCCCAGGCAGGTTTGGGTGAGGTTTAGGATCTGGGGAAGTTATTGCATCTGTTCTGCTTTTATTCCTTGCTCTTTCTAATACCTCCCTAGGTTCTGCCCCCAGGCTCAGGTCTCAGAGGCTTTCTGCTTTGGTGCCAGTGACAGCTGGCTCCCCTCTGCCAGGGTCATGATGCCTCCCCTTCCCTGCCTCAGCCACCTCCTCTATCAGACAGGAGAGGCCAGGTGGGATTGAAGCTGCTGGGAGGCAGAACTGGCAGATGTGACAGAGCAGCCACAGGATAGGTAGTCCTGGGTCCCCAAAGCTTTGAGGACCAGAAGCCCGAGTGTAGGATGCCACTCTGCAGCTGCCTGTGGATGCCTGGCATCGTGCCAGACTAGCAGCCCTCAGTCCTCAGCAGAGTGGGTGCCGTGCTATTGTTTGTAGGGTCCCTAGCCAGGGGAGTGAACTGACCACTGGAAGTGCTTCCCTGGCACAGCCCCTCAGGGAAGGCACTGGCTCCTACTCCATCCTTGCATCCAGAAACTGAAATCCGACTATCACAGGTTTATTTTCAATTACAGTTTAAGGCAGAGACATGAACTAGCACTGGGTTTGAAAGCAGTGCATAAATCCATGTAATAAGATTTTATTGATCGCATGCTGTTTCTGTCGGAACAAAATTCCCTCGATGCACACGTCAGGTCAGACCAAGGAGGCACATTGGCAGGAGGCTAAATCCAGATCAATGCATTCTGACAAATATGTTGTTATGAAAAGTAAAAGTTACTTAACTTGTTTGATGTGCTCTTCAAAATGAAGACTCTGTCTTTAACTCTCGGCCCAGCAGCCTGGTCTCGGGTGCTTGGAGCTCTTCCCTGCCTGCTTGCCCTAGCCTCCCTGTCTTTAATTAATAATTTAATTAATAATTATTTAATTTGGCCCTTGGTAATGGGGTTGTGCTGAACAGGCCAGGATAAGCTGGAGGGGCCAAAATGGCTCCACACTGAGAAGTCTAAAAGTCAGAAATTAGGTGAATTTCTAAGGGATTAGCTCAGGACAGTAAACTAGCAGGAGGCTGCTTGAGTCTGTGACATCCAGGAGATTTCCTATGAATGTACTAGCCAGAGATAGGGCAAGAGCGGGGGGTGGAGGGCAGAGGCACAGTAGTGCCCGGAAGAAGGAACATAGCACCATGAGCAGCTTAAGGATGACTGTGCTGGAGATCCCAGCTGGCAGTCTCCTGGCAGGACCTCAGGACCCTGGGAGGTACCCGAGCTGTCTTCTGAGACAACAGGAAGCCTTCTGCCCAAGGGCACAAACAGGGTAAGGATTTCTGCTGTAAGATGCAGAATGACCAGGATGAGCCAGGCTCACAGCCTCCTGATATCCTGGTATAGACAACTCAGCCACTGAGGCAGCCTGACCGAGTTAGGCTGCAGTCATGGAAGATGGACCTTAGCCCCATGTCAATCTAATCCACTTGGCCTCCCTCTGTCATGCTAACACTAAGTACAATTTTCTTTTTTCTTTTTCTTTTTCTTTTTTTTTTTTTTTGTTAGCTGGGTGGTTTTCCCGGCTGAATAAAAGTACAACTTTCTAATGATGACAGTATCCCCTCCCTCCCAGAAACCTAGTGGCCTGAAAAGAGTATGGCCCCCTACATCTCTGCCTTGTGGGTATTGTGAGCAGCACCATGCTCTTTTTTAGAGGCAACACCCTTCTATATTCCCACCCAGGAAAGGAAGCCAAGGAAGTAGTTACCTTCTTTTGAAACCTGGAGATAGCCTAGGACCCAACACAATGAGGCCCAGGGCACATCTAGAGTAGTTCTTATATGGAGCCACTGATGCTCAGCCGTATGTGGAATAAAGACCCAGCACAGTGCCCTGGAGCAAAAGCAACTCAGCCTGTGTGGTGGCTGGCAGTGGGAAGGACCAGGTCCTGCTTCTGTCTCCACTGGGGAACACCACCATCAAGATCGCCTCCCATATACTCCCGTGCACTCTGTGAATTCCAAAACTTAGTTTTTATGAGGACATGGATGCTTGGTGTCCCCTCTGTGCCTGGAAGGTACCTGTGTTAGAAGCATTACTGGGAGGGCAAGTTAAGAATTGAGCCTCTGGTTATGGCTTACCTTCAAACCTTGGCTTGGGTATCCTTTCTAAGCTTGAGATCTGTCCACAGAAGCTACTCTGGATAACCTTGGAGGCCACACCAGGGTTTCCCCTCTGCCTGATGCCATATTATTTACAGTTTGTAATTTCCTACAGGCTACGAGACCTCGACTCCAGCATGCTCTGCTGGTCCTTCAGGCCTTTGAAGGCCAAGGATACCAAGTGGCCTAGAGAAAGTAGTGTCCCTAAGACTCCTGGAGAGAGTAGTGTCCCTAAGACTCCTGGAGAGAGTAGTGTCCCTAAGACTCCTGGAGAGAGTAGTGTCCCTAAGACTCCTGGAGAGAGTAGTGTCCCTAAGAGTCAGACAGTGACAAGAGCAAAAGCATGGCTGGAGCCATGGAGCTGCCACTGTGCCACACTGCAAAAGGCACAGACCCCGCTCTGGAGCCGTGGAGCTGCCACTGTGCCACACTGCAAAAGGCATGGACCCCGCTCTGGAGCCATGGAGCTGCCACTGTACCATACTGCAAAAGGCACGGGACCCCTCTGGTTGGGGTGTTGATGAGAGGCCTAGACTGCTTGTCCTGCATCAGACTCTGCAGTGAACATGCCTGGTCAGCAGAATGGAATCCAGTCATCCAAGTAGAAATGGAGGCCTGGGCTGGTGATGCTCATGTGAGCACTGCAGAAGCCTGGCACTTTCTCCTCCCAGCTATTACCTGGGCATAGGCACCAGCTGTAGAGATTTAGGCTGTCTCGATGGCCAAGGTTGATCAAGGCCAAGCTCACCCCCAATGGCTCAGACTCCTTAGCCAGCATTGTCAGAGCTGTGAGAGCACGCTGGTGTTCAGGTCCTCCGGACTGTAGGAAATCATGAGCTCTAAGCAGCGTGGCATTGGGCAGAGGGAAACCCTGGGGTGTGGCCTCCATAGTTACGATGCAGAGTGGTTCTATAGACAGAGCATGAGGTAACATGTAAGTTTATAAAGGATAACCAAGTCAAGGAGGTTTGAAGTCATTGGCAGAGGCTCGATTCTTAATTCCATCCTCCCAGGAACGCTGCTAACACAGGTACCTTCCAGCCAGAGAGGACACTAAGGTAGTCAGACACTGGCACCCATCATCCTACACTGTCCCCAAGCCATGGCAGCTACTGTTGTACTCAGGAGGTGGCTTTGCAGAGCTGGTGTCCTCGGAGGGCACCTAGCATTCCCATGACGGGCGTTTGCTGTGGAGCAGCCCGGCACTCTGCACACCCTTCCATTGACACCGTTGCCTCTGCTCTCCATTCCTCCTCACTCCAGCCTTTCGCCCAGAGAGCTAGTCACGTGCTCTCCCCTCCCCGATCCACAGCATCGCCTCCCTGAGGAGCAATCAGCCTGACTCTCCAAATGTGTGATCCTGTGTGTCACACGCAAGAGCCAGTCCTCAAGCGCTGGCACTGGGTCCACCTAAGAAGAGACTGTACCCAGCGATGCCCAGATCTCTTTTCTCAAGAGAGAGAAGAGCGGCATGGGAGCACAGCCTCAAAGCAGGAACTTGTGCGTGCAGAATTCTGGGGCCCTCAATGCCAGGCTTCCACCTCACTGTGGAGGTTGAGCAACCTGATACCTGCAGGGCAGGATAATCCAGTAGAAGACTGGGCTTTCCAGTCTGAGGGGCACAGCTGGACCCAGAGCTACAACAGGAATGGGATCATGGAGGGCCCCTTAGGACTCGGGACAAGCTGTGTATACTCCGTAGCCCACACCGGGTCCTCTCCCTCCAGTCAGCACCTGCCCAAGGGGCTATCCTAGTCTAGGCTGAGGCCATCCGTCCAGCTCTTCGGCCACCTGCTACATCCAGAGCTGCCACACCGGAGAGAGAACCGCCCAGTGCCAGTCCTTGCTCCAGGGGCCAGCCTTCCCTCTCTACCATACATAAATAAGCCCTGGGCTCGTCCAGGCCACCCATCCATCTTGTTTAATAGACTGGAGTACGCCCTGTACTGCAAGTCCCAGGGAGTAGTAAGGTGATGGATGGTGCCTTCCCATGTCGGACTACGTGATGTATAATGAAATATTTATGATTTATTCCAGCTAATAACCCACAGGGAGTGCAGGGAGCGTGTGAACAGACATCGCTGCTGTCAGAGCTGCCGCTGACATCTGCATGCCTACACACAGTCATAATCATGCAAATGTGTGTGCATGGACATGCACGCGCACTAATGTGCAGACACACACCTCCCCCACGCCATTGTGCAGGAGGGAGCCTCAGCTGGAAATACAGCCCTGTATTCTGGCCTGGTCCCTGCTCCTGACACTGCCAGTGTTTCTGTGGGGTCCCAGACTCCCTTGTGAAAAGAGCCAACTGGCACAGTTATTTTGCCTAGGGAGAAAAGCACCGTAGCTATTTGGGGGTGGTGGGAATCAAGAGCAGGAGGACATTCATCACAGGGTATCCCTGTGTTGGGGAAGGAGCTGAAAATGACCAGGACCCACCCATGGTAGGATGACAGAGCTATGTGGATAGGAGTGGAACCGGGCAGGGGGGTGCCCTGCGTGTATCTATGTGAGGCTGTGCATGGATTGTGTCAGGGTCAAGGCTTCTGCTTTCCTGCTGTAGTTCATCCTGAGTCAGAGTCAGGGGCAGTAAACCACTTGCTGATGTTTTCTGGAAATACCACACACTGTTGCCCATTGCTCTGACAAAAACATGGCCCACACTGGCTTACAAGTTCAGGATATTTACAGACCCCAGAGGCCCAATGGGTTCCTAGCATGCCGTGGATTCTGGTGGGCTCTACTCCCCGCTGCTGGCTGTGAGGCAAGGTGCTGGTATCATAGGGATAAAGAATGGAGAGGGACACATGTCATTAGAACTAGTCCCCACAGGAGGTGGGCCCGGACACTGGAAATAGTGGGACTCACACATATGCATGTGGCCCCCTAGGACTCTTGTGGGTGGTGATCAGGATCACCAAGGTCTCCTGTGACCAGATACTCCCAGACTGTCCAGAGCTATCACAGAACCCCCTTTTTTAGGAGACACTGCTGTGTTCAAGGATGATAGGTACTGGATCCGAGGGCGTACATCAGTGGACATCATCAAGACTGGAGGCTATAAAGTCAGCGCCCTGGAGATTGAGCGGCACCTGCTGGCCCACCCCAGCATCACAGGTGAGTGAATGGTAACCTCAGGTTTAGTAGAGCACTGCCCTCAAGACACAGTACCACCTTTTCTACTCTGTTAAGTGTTGGCTGTGAAGGACCCTCTTCTACCTGCTAGTAGGGATCCTGTGAAATGTGTTCCTGCTCCCTCCCTGGCCTTCAGCACACAGGATCCTGATGGCAACCCCAGGCTGCTGCCTGCTGTACAAGAGGGGCCTACAGACCTGGCCAGAACGTACACCTGCTCTGCAGATCAAGCAAGAGCAGGCTGAGCCCCTAGAGATGCTGCCCCACTCCCATGAGGGACATTCCCATGGTCTTGCTCCAGGCGCTCGGGTATTGCATTAACTGCCTGGCGTTACCCACACCTGTAGTGGTCGTCAGGGCCTTCCAGGTGTCCTCAACATGTTCTGCTGTCCTCAGATGTGGCTGTGATTGGAGTTCCGGATATGACATGGGGCCAGCGGGTCACAGCTGTAGTGGCCCTTCAAGAAGGACACTCACTGTCGCACAGGGATCTCAAGGAATGGGCCAGGTAGGGCTAAAAGGGACTGTTGTGGGTTCTAAGGTATCTAAGGGAATATCTTGGAATGGGAGGATGGGAAGGGCCTCTTCAGGAGCTGGGAAGCAGGGGTGAACCATTCTGGATTTTGGAAATGGAGAGGAAGAAGCTGAAAAGGTCAGCAAGGTGGCCCCTGAGCAGCTGTCTTTCCTCATTAAGCGCAGACCTGGAAACAGGAAGGGCCTCTGCCTGCAAGCTGGATTGGGAGTCAGGAGTAGTCTGAGGCAGAGATGTGTGTTTCTCAACTTACAGATAAACCCCAAAGCATTGTGAGGCTGAGGACCCTCACCTGGCTAATCCAGCGCTAAGCTGAGCAACAGCCTCTCCCTACCCTGCCAAACTGGCACAGCCTGCCACAGAATGACCTGAGCCCAGCAGCCTTTTCTGTTCCTGCCCTGAGGGTGGCCTCGTGCCTCAGCCTTTCTGTGGAGCCTTCACAGCCTGGCGTACCCCTAGCTCTCAGTGTCTGTGGACTGTGCCTGCAGCTCCCTCCTCAGACCCAGGGTGGGGCCCTTTCCAGCCTGTCAACTGTACTTGCTTGTCTCGTTTTTTGTTTTTTGAGACAGGGTTTCTCTGTGTAACAGCACAGCCTGTCCTGGAACTCGCTCTGTAGACCAGGCTGGCCTTGAACTCAGCTCTGCTTGCCTCTGCCTCCTGAGAGCTGGGATTAAGGGCTTGTGCCACTGCCAACGTGCTGGCTTTTTTTTTCCACCCTCATCCTTTGTGTTAGACTCCAGTGTCTCTCATGTCAGTCCCTGGTGGGTTCTGATGTCCTCCCAGGACCCACAGGACAGAGGGGCTCACTGGGACCTTCACAGCCTGGTGAGCCACCTTGATCTTCCACTGTGGCCCAGGAGGATACCTCTGGGTTTTAGATCGGAGAAGTTCTCTCCTTTCTGCTGTCTCCCCCCCTCCCCCCCACACACACACACTCACTTCTTCTCGGCGTAGGACTATTTTTGGCTGTCCAACAAGACTTCACAAACAGCAGGAGTCCTTGTTTCATCAGGGGCCGCACAGCTGGGCAATTACCGATTCCCCTGGATTTGCAAAATCACAGTTGGAGCTCTGTAGCTTAGCAGAGGCAACAGTCTGCTTGGCCGGTCGCTGCTTTGATTAAACAATTAGTTTCTTGAGAAGAAAAACACCCAGGCATCCTTTGCTGAGAGCCACAGTAGTCGGTGGGTGGAGGTCCTACCCTGGCCTGGATTCCTTAGGCCATGGCCTGTGTCCATGAGTGCTTCCCTCATGGCCTGTCTCTAAGCTTCAAGTCGGGCTCCTTGCTTGGGTATTCATGTTGAGTATGAGAAGACCCTGAGGTTTGGAGCATCCTGGGAGTTGTAGCTGTGTAGAACAGGACAATGCAAGAAAGATTGCCAGACATAAGGGCAGAGCCAAGTTGCAGACTGTCCAAAGGGAATTGCCTGCCCCTCAGATTTTGTCCCCACAGTGGGTAGCCTCCCCACACGTTGTTTCTTGGGGAGGGGTCCTGAGGAGATATCCCCACTTTTAACCCCCAGACCTATCCACTCCCCAGAGAACAGTGTCTAAGCCTCCAGGTGCCTCCTGCAAGGGAAGGCCAGCCTGCCGCTGGCAGAGGCCCTGAGGCCCAGGTGCTCCTCTCCCTCATGTGGTGTCCTGGCCATGCCTGGTGGGTGCTGCTCACTGCTGGTGACCCACACTTTGTCCCCTGGAGCCCTGCTCGCCATGCCGTCTCAGGCCACAGTGCTGTGCTGTCCAGTTACCACAAAAGAGAGGCAGGTGGGGAGGAGAGACAGGAGTGCTCCTCCTGAAGTTCCAGAAAGAGAGAGTGTCTGGAGAGGGAACTAACGGAGCACCAGATTTTCACCATATTGATTGAAAGGGAGAGCTGGGCACAGTGGCTCACACCTGTGATTGAAACATTGAGGTCACAGACGTGGGAGCATCAAGAGTTCAACCCAGCCTCGGCTACATAGCAAGTTCAAGGCCAGCCTGAGCTGTGAGATGAGAGAGATTCAGGAGGAAGCAGAGAGAACCCAGGTGTCGCTGTTATCCACAGAGTGTGACCTCACAGCAGCCCAGTATTCTTCAGGAGGTGCCTCACAGCCTCAAGTGTGTCCTTGGAGCTGGTAGTACCAGAGCTGACCCAAAGCCAGAGGCTGAAGAGCTGTGTCTGTGAAGCTGAGTTCCCAGCTAAAAACTTTACCATAAAGCAAATGCCAGGCCCAGAAGGCTCTGTCAGCAAATGATACTGAGCACCTCGGGGGACACACCACGAAGTGCATACAAGTCCATTCCGGTGGGGAGGGACACTCCCAGCTGACTTCATGGGACCCACGACCCTGCTACCAAAACCAGACAAGAAGCCCAGACCAGTTTCCTGTCAGACAGACACAAAATGCTTAACCAAATGCTGGAAATTAGGTCCTATTCACAAAAGAGCCAACACATCATGATCGCGTGGCACTTATACCAGAAATGTGAGGTTAAACATTCAGACACCCGTCCGTGTGGCGTGCCGTGTTTACAGAGGGAAAGCCGTGCAGTCTTTTCAGTTGACACAGAAAGAATGTCTCTAGATCCCAGTGCCACTTGCAGGAATTCGCAGCAGCACCAGAGAGGAGACATTCCTGAGCTGGGGAAGGGGCTCGGAGGACCACCAGCAGTCAACGGGACATTTCCTCCTGTGTTCAGGGCAAGCATCCCCACCGCCTCTTCCCAGTCCCACGCAGACACAAGTCCAGACAGTGGTTGTGCTGTGCCTCCCTGTCTGGTACTGGGTGCCAACTGGGGCCACTTCAGCCCATGGTAGAGGTTTGTACCCAGTCCCCACATGACACTGCACACTGGACCTTCCTGTAAAAAGCTGCCCAGTTTCTACATAGAAATACACAGGCCAGGCAAACAGGACAAAAGGAGAAAGATGGGCGCCAGGAAGCAGAGCAGGACCAGAAGCCACACAGAGGCGAGATGGGCTCCTGCGAGGCCTGGGATCCCTTCCTTGTGGGGCCTCCAAAAGGAGCCCTTGTGGTAAAAACCATAGGGAGTAAAGCCAGTCCAACCCGAAGTGGGGACAGTCCCACGGTGGGCAAAGAAACAAGGCCCAAGTGCCACAGGGCACCGAGCTCTGCTGAGGAGTCTGAGCAGTTACTGCAGGTGGCCAGCAAAGCTGTCACATGAGTCATGAGCATGTGTAGGTCTGTAGCGGAAGAGCCAGTGGGGTTCAGATAGGAGCACAGCGTGACATAGAAGGCCGTGAGTGGCCTAAAGTCTAAAAAGTGCATTTGAACTTAAAAGGCATGTGAAACCCTGGATGTGTCTCTCACGACCCTGGGTAAAGTCAAGACCAGTTGCCTCTGGTCAGTGGAACTTGGGGGCAGCCTAGGATTCTACTCCAGGCCTTACACACGATCTCCGGTTGGGTTGTCCATGTACAGGAGCAGGAGAGCATCTGCAGGGGTCACCTGTGGCTGGCCCATGTGACCTTTGGAGTAGATCCTACCTCAGTGCATCTGAGACTCTGATCACGACTGCAGCTTTTTCCTACCAACAGGAATGTCCCCTGTCTGCTGGTGGCCCAAAAGCTACTTCTCTGTAGTTAACCATGCTTGTCACCTACAGGGGCCACTCTACTGTGCCAGAGTCACCTTTGGAGGGAACAACAATAGGCAAGCCTGTGGTCAGTTCCCTCCAGGGCAAGACAAGACCAGGCTGGATGAGCAGAGCAGGGGCCTCGCTGCCTCCTTCTTCCCTGGTTCCCCCTCTCAATGTCCACATCCACTCACTCTGCTGCCTCTGACCTGACTTTGCAGGCCTTGGAGCCAGAGGGAAGAGGATGGTTCTCCCTGCAAAGGGCAAGGTGGCCATCCTGTTGCCACCCAACACAGAGTCAGGGTGTGAGCCCACGATGACTGCTGGGCGTGTCATGCCTACACGCCCCCAGGGCCGGGCAGTCATCCCAAGCTGTGCTTGTCTCTGCAGAGGTATCCTGGCGCCCTATGCCATACCCTCGGAGCTCTTGCTGGTGGAGGAGATTCCACGGAACCAGATGGGCAAAGTGAATAAGAAGGAGCTTCTTAGGCAGTTCTACCCCTCGTGACCAGAGGAGCCAACGGGCCAGGGCCAGAGGACTGCAGACAGCCCCTGATGATCATGTGCTGTGGGCCCTGTAGCAGGCCCAGAGATCCTTGAATGGAAACACCCCACTCCCCTGCAATCAGGTTGACCAGATTTGAAAACCCTGGGATGAAATCCCCAAGTGAGGCTTCCCCCACTCTAGTTGATTGTTCGAGCTCGGGTGACCCTGATCACTGGGTGTGTCATCCTTGAGGTCACGGATGTGTGTCAGTCTCACAAGCACAGGAAGGACATGGCTGTGGCCTGTGTGTGGCCAGCTCCCCGGTGCCCAAGGCTGCTGACTCTCCTAAGGGCAGGTCCCAGAGAGTCAGGCCATGCAGAGGAAAGAGATGAAATAAAGACAGAGGACAGTGCCCTGTGCTTTCTGGCTATGACCTGCAAGTTACATGTCTGCGTGTACACATCAGCAGCCGTCACAGCTCCCAGTCCACACAGGATGCCAAACCGTAGCGCTGGGTGGAGTCTGCACCCCCCCCCCCCAGGGATTCCTGCTGCTGGGACTGTCACCCCAGAACTGTGTGTGTGTGTGGTAGAACATTTAAAGTCCCTGTAGCCACCCAAGGCCATCCCCAAATGGCCCTGAAGCCTCCCTTCCTTAACCCTGCCTCACCCCAGTTAGGGTCTTTCTGGTCCTTCCCTGTGTTCTCTCCCCTTTGCTGCCTTCTTACCAAACTTCTCTGCTATCCACATCTGAAAGCTTCCCTGACCTCCATCCTCCAGGCCCACGGAGGATGTCCCCTTAGTGTCCTGCCAGCTTGGATGTACGCACATGTGCCCTCAGGCCACATGGAGAAACAGAGTGTGCTCTCTCCCTCCCTCCCTCCACCCCCCTTTTCTCTCCTCTCTCCCATAAT